TCCGCGGCCCGCCATATTTTATAGTTAATTAAAACGGAATTCCTTTGCGTAACTCGTTGCCATTTTTTGTGATATGTCTGGAAATTAATACGTTAATAGATACCTGGTTCCAATAATAATAGTTCTTATAACAGTATGTGTCAAGAATATATACATAAATGGTTTTACAGAGTGTTGCATTTGAAATAAGAAAGTTTTTACGTAAAAAAATATTTAAAATAGACGAGCAATTTTGGATATCCCAGTATACATTTAAAGAAGCGATAAAATTTCTCAGTGAAGTTTGTTTCTCTGGCTTAATAGTCAACACAAGAATTAATTCTGAAAAGTAATGTACAGAGTGTTGACAATCTTTTTGTTAGTAATTGTTAGTTTTAGTTACTAATGGAATTAAGTCTGTGGTTAAGTCATAAACAGCCTATAAAATTTTTTATCATGTCAATTGATTCTTTCTGGATCTTTCATTATTTTAATTATTCTCGATGTGCAAAGAATCAACCCACACATATATCTTTTTTAACCCACAGGACACAGAATAAATTTTAATAAGGCCAAAATTATAATGAAAGAAGCGATAGCCTCTAAAATAAAAATAAAAGAGGCATTTTTAATACAATCTATGAAAAATAAATGTATTGCTCATGCATCTGTAGATGTTAGTAATGTATGTCAATTGCTTCTTTGATTTTAAAGAACATAACATAAATCTATGTTTTATAGATTTAACAAAGGCCTTTTACAGAGTCCAACTAAAAGACATCATCACCATCTTGGAAAGCAGTAATGTCTCGAAAGAACTCACAGAACTTATCAAGAACTTAAACACAAACACAACAACCCAAATAAGAACAAACTTTACCTTAACGCATCATCTTCGAACTACAACTGGTATTCGCCAAGGCGACAGCCTCAGCCCTCTGTTATTCAACAGAATCATGGATCAAGTAATAAAAACCGTCAAGAATACTGTATTAGGATATCGAATGGGAATGCATAAAGTAAACATATTATGCTATGCCGATGACGCAATACTTATTGCAGAGTCAGAGGACGACCTCCAAAGAATGCTACAAGCTTTTAACAGACAGGCAGAAAAACTTAACATGCAAATTTCCACAAATAAGACAAATGCATGACCATTACAAAGGAGCCTCTACGGTGCAAATTGGTAATAAAAAACAAAACTATTGAAACAAGGAAATAAAAAACAAAACTATAGGAAACAAGCCAATAAAGCTGCCGCAATATCAGGACATCTTAAATATCCCATATGGAAAAACAAACATTTGAGTACAGAATGTAAGTCAAGAATATACAAAACCTGCATACGACCAGTGATGACATATGGTGCGGAAACCAGAGATGAAACATCAGTAACAAAGAGAATCCTACGAACTACTGAAATGAAGACCTTGAATGATAACTGGATACACATTGAGGGACAGACAGAGAAATGTAGACATAAGAGAAAAGTGCCAAACAAACGACGTTGTCAGATGGATAAGGCAGAGAAGAAGAGGAACCAGCATGTCAATAGAATGGGTCCCGACAGAATGGCCATAATAATTCGCAACAACGTACCCCATGGCAGAAGACCTACTGGACAACCACCTAAACGTTGGCAAGACAGTTGGCAGTCAACCTCGCAAGAGTTGCTTAGACGAGGAGGAAACCGGAACTAAACAGGCGATACGCCTTCCAAAAAAAGAAGAAGAAGAAGATAACATAAATAAACATAACATACGTAAAATTTAAAAATAATCATACAGAAAGTTTGGGGCTTTTTGGTTTTACCTTATTAAGTAATTGTTATCAGGTAGTAATTGTTAAATTTGAATTTTAACTTGATATAATGTCATTTTAACAGAACGTCAACGGTTTCTTGTAGACGTACCTGTTTTAAAAAACTAAAGTGTTCTCGATTAGTTGAATTGAAATATTTTAAATAGTTTTTTCTTTATTCTTTGTATTTTTTTGCTTCCGACGACGGAAAGAGATAAACTTTCCGAAACGTTAAGAATTTTTTTCTTTGTTAGGTAAATTTGTATATCTGTAAATATAACTTCTGACAAGTAGTTTCCGTTTGGGTTTAAAACTGTTTTTTTTTAAACAACTATTTTATTTTGTAGATTTTCTTGCAGTGCAATGGCGAAATACCCATATAGGATTTTTTGGAGACACATATATTTATAAGATTTTTTTGTAGTTTTCTGTCTAACAAAATAAGAGAGTTTTTTTTAATTTCAGCCTTTTCTGTTACATGATATACAGTATGTCCCCGGATTGTTTTTACAACAGGAAAAACTTTTTTATTGTTGATATTTTGAGAAAAATGCATTCTTCATAAAAAATTTTGCTTGTTCTAAAATGGTTAATTCCGTTTACATTTTTCCAAATTTCCATACCGTTTCGTTTTTTTCAAAATGTCAGTAATAAACAAGTTTTTCCTCTTACAACAATTATTAAGATATTTATAACAAACAATAAAAATAAATGACAATTAAAAAATAAATACAATTCAGTGCTCAAAAATTTCACGGAAAACGTTATTCTTGAAACCCAGTAGTACCCAATTAGCATAATAAAACAATTTTCAGAATTGAAAAAATAAAAACATTAATTTCATGGACCTTTTAATAACAACTATAACTATGAACTCTCTAAAATCGTACGCACGTAACAACTAACAATTTGATTTAATCACTTCCTTAATTATTGCATATAATCTGTGTGAAAATAAAAGTGCTATATTATAATTTACAGCAAGAGTTGGTATTTCTACACGAATAAAACAAAGGAAATATTTAATCCCATAGAAATAATAAATACATTTCTTAACAGAATTAACCCGGTTATTGGGCATTGTCAATTAAAGGATGGTTCCTGTACTTGGCTTAAATAATTTACTATAATTAAATATAAAAAAAAGTAAATACATATCTATTTAATAATTTTACTATACAGGGTGAGTCTTAAATAAGAACCCAGTCGTCACGTCTATGAGGTTTTTTCGCAATTTTTTTTGTAAAATGTGGAATTTTTTTAAAAAAAATTTGGAATTTTTTTAAATTTTTAGTTAAAAACATAATATCTTCAAAATATGGCAACACACTCAGGTAGTAGATTAAATTTACAAAAAAGAAAACCCAGAAAAGATCCAGTGGTTCTCAAAATTTAAGCAAAAAAGTATTTTTTTGGAAATTTTCAAAGTAAAATATGGCGGTTATTTTGGACTTATTTGAAAAACTGCAAAGAGGAAATATGTTTCTTTTATTGAGATCTACCAGCCCTGAAAATATTTGCATTTATGTAAGACTCGCCCTGTATATATTTAAATCAAAAGATGCACGTTGTTTTATTTAATACCTGTTTTGTTTGTCCAAAAATAATTTAATAATTTATATAGGGCGTATATGAAGAAGTGCAAAAAAAAACAGGATGTTACATTTACTTATAAAATTATTTGGTTATACAGGGATGCCCAAAATCTCAATATTACTGACTTTTTTCAAACACGATTCGCACTGGAAAATTGCAATAATTTCGAGTATGGATGACAATAATCAAATCGATAGATATTTTTAGATAGAATTCTTATTGGTCATATACTTGTTGAACATCCTGTACAGGTTGAACGCCCATGCGTTATATATATTTCGGTCATGCCTATGAGGTTTTTTTCAAGAAAAAAACCTTCAAAAATTTGGAATTTTCTGAAAAAATTTTTGGAAATGTTTTTAATTTTTACTTAAAAACAGAATATCTAATAATAAATATAAAAAATGGCAACATTGGTAGTAGATATTTTTTTTTTATTTTGAAAGTAAAATATACCGGTTATTTCGGACTAATTTGAAAAACGGTAAAGAGAAAATAAGTTTCTTTTATCGAGATCTACCAGCCCTGAAAATATACACTTATTTAAGACTCACCCTGTATATAAATCAATCTAGAAACTTTTTTTATCTCCACACATTTTTTTACATAGAATTAATGAAAAAAAATCTATAATAAAAAACAGTAAATTTAATTAATAAATTTACTTTGTATAGCCTGTCCTACGAGAGGATCTGTAACAGTGACAGTTGTGTCTGTCATTTTCTGGATGTCATCTGTCAAAATCTTTCCTGCCTTGTTGGACAGAGTATATTTTAGGCTTATTCTATTAGGTAGCTATAGTTATCTAATTATTTAAGATAATTATTATTGACAAAGTTCATTTTATCTAATGACAATATAAAGGTAATTTAACGATTAGATAGACGTATTTATCCAAAATAATCCAGAAATAGACAATTTATATACCTTATTCTTTTACTAATTATACTATTTTTGATAACAGGGGGGATCATATACCCCTTGAAGCGCTATTTTTATGTTTTTAAGCAAATATGTTTTAAGTAAACAGCCACTAGGAAATTTGTCTGTTAACTTTTTTACACAAAAATAACAAATATTTAGAAATTCCTGTATAAATATTGTAGAAACATATACAATAGAAAAAAAAACGATGTCACAGTGGCTTTTGAAATAATAATAGTTGATAATTTCCATCGGGTCGATCTCTATATGTCTACATGAAAATTAAATATTATGTTTAGACATTTTTACACATGTCAATTTTTAATAAATGATATATTATAGAGATCATTCAACAGAAATTAATATAGATTGATATTTAAAGGTCACAGTATTTTAACAAACTGTATATAGATAAAAGATAGGCAGCGCTTCTATAATAGTACCCCCCCCCCCAAAAAAAATATATAGAAAATATATTTTTTTCAATTAAAAAAAAGACAACATTAAAATTAAATTTTACTCTTATTACTCTGTAAGAAAAAAAATTATAATTTGTATATGTTTAAGCCAATATTAATTTATAAACAAACTGTATCAATATAAAATGAAAATAATCAAAACAAGGCTTTAACGCGTCATCCCGCTGCCAAACCAAAAAACGAAAAAGTCAACTCCTCGCAGGAATCCGTGGAATTTACCTTAGTCTGAGATATGTCCATATCTGCATAAATCGTAAAAGTGGCCTTTCTTCCTTCATTGGCGACGTTACTCGACCCCAGCGTATGGTACTTCATGGTCGACTTTAATATCGACCCGTTCAAATCCTACACAACACTAAATCAACCATCAAAAACCAACCCTGTCTTTTCGAAATGCGATCTGGAGTCCTTTAATTCTGGTTTTTCGAAAACGGTCCACGTGAACTGATATATAACTCGGTAAAGATTCTTTTCATACTGATTTTAGTTCTTCGTTACGATTTGTTTGTATGGAGGTACGGTCGATACAAACATAGGGGGTTTTTACGGGATAAATATAAGCTCGTTCGCAACTAGGGAGATAAGAAAACATTAACCCGGCGAAGTTTTATAACTTGTCGCGAGCGCGGCGCAACGAACAACGTTTGTTGGTAAGAATTTGGTGGACGGTCGCTTTACCAGTTGAACGCAACAACGGTTGTGGTGCTGGTGTTGCCAAGTTTAGCGATTTATCGCTCAGTTTCATCGTTTTAAAAGGCCTAGTTCGAGCCCCCTTCAGAAGATAACATATGTTCGCGCGAAAAAAGTTGATATTCACAAAAATCTTCATTTAAAGTAAAGTAGTAAGAGTCTATTTCAGTAGTCTGAAAAAGTAGCAAACTAAGCGTTCGGTATTTAACGTTTTATGTAAAACTGGCCAGGTATTTTTACACAAATGAAGAAGGAAATTAAAGATAAAGGATTATACCATATCCGTATTGTAGCACATTTTTAGACAACTTCTTTATTTTTAAGATTTTGATGGTCAAACATCAACAAAATATTTCTTATGTTTGGACTAAGTTTTCTCGAAAATAAAGACATAATTTAAAATTCCGTTACAATACTGAAATAGATTGAAGTTTTGTGATTACAGTGATATATAATTTGTATGGTTTTGTAACAAATTGCTCGCTATTTTATGGCAAATGCTGAAGCTCTGCAAACCTTAATCAAGCCTTAATCAAAGCACGTGTGTTTGGAATTTTGGGTGTGGCTTAACACGACAGGATCGGTCTAAACCTTAGGCAGATTTCTGATATTTAATATATATTTCCTTCGGCCACACACCCGCTTCACCCGACCCCTGAGAGCGACCCGAAAGTACAGCGTAATAGTCTCTTAAAGTTAAAACTCACTTTTGTGGACAGGGTCTTGTTTGACTATACAAGATGTTTGTTTGGTATACTGCACTACTGTCTTAGAAGTGTCTCAATTTGGCTATTACTCATAAAATATCTAGCCTTTTATCTCATCCAACCACTAACTTGAGTAAATGAGCAATGAACATACGTTTTACAAACTATCCAAGTTTTCCAAAGGCTATACAAACTTATCCAAGTTTCCCCTCGCCTTAGGTCGTTTAAGTTCGATAGCAAAATAAAACACTAAATCACCACAATACACCAAAACATTTTTACTTTTACATCAGCAGATGATTAAAACTTAGCTTGGCCACTACCCTAAATTTTGTTAAAAGCAACCACTTCTAATCCATAAAGATTATCCGATGATATATTCAAACGAGTCTTATGTCACCTGACACATCTATATCTCTTATATAACAGAATCCGATCTTTAGGGCACACCGATCTCCATAGCAGTGATATTGAAGAAATGTTATTTGATCTGCTCCATGCAACTCTTTGCCAATGGCATATCATTTTCTGATAAAAAGAACCGCACATGTTGCCGGGCTATCGATCTTAACAAAGTATTATTAGAGACCCACGTTACAGCTTGAACAGTTTTACTGTCTTCGTTCATTAGATCGGCCAGTTATGAACTGTTTCAACTGACTCTGTTTTGGTAAATTTTTCCATTCTAGAGATTTGTACCCACTCATTATTTTGTAGTCATTTTTGTAATCGCTTCTGCAACTCCGCAAAAGGGTTCTGAATCTATAAATGGCATTTATGAGCCTTGTTTGTCCATTTCATTTGCCCTCATATTGTCCTTCAGATCATCATTATATTTCATTCAAACTCCAGTTTACTTCAAAATATTCCCCAGAAGTCCTTTACCAGGTCACCAGGCTGATATTACACGTGCAGATGAAAATAGCAAATGAGAACGCCGACTAAAAAAATTAACATGATCACAAACATGAATAAAAGCAAAGAAAAAACATAGGTAGGTGTGTATTAAAATCACATCAAACAACATAAACCAATTTAACTAAATTAAAAAAAAACTGAATTAAAAATGCAAATGCCTGTAAAACGTAACATAAAATATAACTAATACAATGAACAACATTATACTAAATAAAAAATAACATATTTTATTAATTGTGAAAACACATGAAAACACAAGGGAATAAACTAAAAAAACATAAGTAATTTAAAATTTACATCAAACAACATAAACAAAATTAAAAAAAAAAACTTACATTTTGAACAATTAAAAATGCAAATGCCTATAAAAACATAACATAAAATAACTAATACTTTAACAACATTAAAATAAATAATAAAATTACATAGGTATTGAAACTGCAATAAATGCTAATAAACATTATAGAAACTTCAAAAGAACTTCGGAAGTAAGAACAATAAGAGATAGCATAACTACTTATTTAGAAGAATTTGATGTCGACCGCTAGAAAGTATGAATTAACTTTCGCAGACCACAAAAAATAATATTTAATTATTGTTACCGAGTCCCGAGAGTACCGAAAGAACAGGAAATTAATAATTTCGAGTCTCGGTTCTTTGACGTCTCAAAAAAAATATATATCATAACTTCTCAACTCTTGTAATAATAAACATCTATACAAAATACCTGTAACAAATCTGAAGTCAGTCGTGGCAACATCGCTTAGTATCGCCCCCTCTTTCTTCTGTTACCTGTGTTTACCTTAGACCGCCAACCTGAAACCAATACCGCGAGCTTCCAAAGCGAGCTTCAGCCGAAAGAAGTCCAACTTATAAAGCGCGTGGTACCGTGGTACACTTCTAACTTTAATGTGTACGGCATCGGGTTTGTGCCTCCCTCTAATGACTAGGCCAGATTCCCTTCTATTGTTGTTTCTTTGACACAGAAAGGTAATGTTTTTAATATGAAGCTAAAGAGGCAGTATGAACATATTTTTATTGTGCATTGTTATGAACCTTCTTATTATTGCTGGTTTTTGTAGAAATATTTAGAAGAAATATCTTTGTATTAATCTATACAATCCCACAAAAAAAAAGAAAAAAACATAAATGAAAAATACAAAATGAAAAAAAGAGCACCATTATTTTATAAACAACTTTGAGAAATTTAGAAACTCGCGGTATTTATCACTTGGTTGCGACTTGTTGTAACTCAAACATACAAAGCTAAATATGTCTATTAATATATTAAACCAGCTCACAAGACAAAAATAACGAAAAAAACAAATAGAAGAATAAACAAAAAACAGAAAAAGCATCGTCTCATTATTTTAACAGTTTCTGAGATATTGATTGATATTCTGGAGGCTTGTTGTGACTCAGATACAAAATTAAATTTGTCTATTAATATATTAAACAAGCTCACAAGACGAAAATAAAGAAAAACTAAATAGAAGAACAAAAAAAAAACAAAAAATGATCTCATTTCTTCTATGTAGGCTTGTTGTAACTCTTAAATACAAAGTTAAATTTGTCCACTAATATATTAAAGAAGCTCAGAAGACACAAAGAAAAAAAAAACAAAAGAACAAAAAAAATCATCTCATTATTTTAACAGCGTCTGAGACACTATGTAGTCTTGTATCTCTTAAATACAAAGTTAAATTTGTCTATTAATATATTAAAAAAGCTCAATAGACACAAATAAAGAAAAAAACAAAGGGAGGAACAAAAAAAAACACAAAAAAATCATCTCATTATTTTAACAGCATCTGAGACACTATGTAAGTGTGTTGAAACTGTTAAATACAAAGTTAAATTTTTCTATTATTATAGTAAACAAGCTCACAAGACACAAATAAAGAAAAAAACAAAGGGAAGAACAAAAAAAAACAGAAAAATCATCTCATTATTTAACAGCATCTGAGCCATTGAGCCAGTCTGTATTACTTAATGGACATCATATTCTTCAACTGGGTTTAATTTTTTTACTCTTATATTTTTCTTTTATATTTATTAATTTAGTTTTAATTTCAGAAAATTAATTATTATTTTTTAGGTTTTTAGAAGATAAAACTCTGTATCAATTAGTTTCAGGAGTCATAAATTTTATGTATGTAAGAAATACTTTAGGAGGTAGCAAACTGTTTTTTTTAATATAGAAACAAAACTTTTATGAATGTAAGAAGTGAAGGGTGTGCAGCGAAGTCAGACGTTATACTAAGGGCCAGACAATAGGGGCACAAGAGTTTAGATAATCTTATGCAGCGACCAACACGCTGTTGCAAATACGGGTAAAAGACTTTTTAAAAAACGAATTTAAAAACGGTCTATGGAACATGTATACGAATACAGGATGTACCATTTTCGGTGTACTTACCAGAATCCAATTTATCAAGAAAATCAAAATCAAAAATGGCATATCAAAATCTGAAGTATTATTTTCTTTTATATTCTTCGAAATCTTATCTATGGACATTCCATTTTTTACATGTTTAAATGACATTTTTTAAATTTGTCCCCAATAACAGTTTTTTTTTGTTGCAATCTTGCCTCTCAAAACCAAATCAAAAATAAAGTCTATGCCCTGCCCCTGTTGAATTAAAATACCTACATAAAAATAACAAAAAAACGCAATTTATACAAATACAAGATCCAAAAGACAAGAACAGATGCAACATTTTATAATTAAATAACAGCAAGATCAAGATGAAGTAAATTTATAATGAAACTTGAAATTATAATGTACGAACAGAATATTCCTTGCGTTGTATTACATTAGTCAGCTTTATCTTTCCTCTAATGGTTAACATTTATGAGGAACAAGTTTTTAGCGTTGCTTCTGATTACATGTAAATATATAGCAATCTCGTTTTTGTTCTAAACCGACGCCAAAGCGGAGACTTTGGCTAAGCACGAGATAATATTTATTTAATGGAGCTTTAATTGCTAGTAAACAATTTTAGACCGAAGTTAAATTTATAGTCTCAATAAAAGACATGTTATCCATTAAAACTATGACGCAAAACGATACAATAAATGCTGGAATTCAGTTTTAGTTAACATCTTAACTTTTCATAATCGAAAGTTTAATGAAATTTATTAAAACACCATCAAATTGTAGTTCTAGGCCTTATTTAGTCCAAACCCCTGAGACAGGCAAAAAATTTGGTTTATTGGCACATATTCAGCATGTTTGTACATTGTATGAGATTGTATGAGAAATTTAAACACCGTGGCCTTCAGGGGCGGCTCGTAGCACTGGAAGATGGTGAGGCACATTAGAAGAGAATTTTTATTAGTATGTA